GGGAGTTTGGAGTGGGTGAACGAGGTAGCGAGATCTAGGAGTTTGGGGGAACCTGGAGACAGTTACGCGGCAGGGCATGTTAGGGCTGAACTCCGCCCATCATTGAGTAAGGATTCTGTTCCTGGGGTGAAAACTAACGCAGGCACTCCAACTGTTGTTTGGGAGGCTGAAGGACCCTTTGCCTTTCCTTTTTTCGTTTTTATTTTTTTCGAGGCAGAGTCTTCTGTTGCCAGGCTGGCAGTGCAGGGCACACAATCATCGGTCACTGGCACCGTGCCGCGTCACGGGCGCTTCAAGAGATTCTCGCTACTCGAGCTCCCGAGTAGGCTGGGATGTACCAGGCGCGGCAGCATCATTGCCTCAACTGAATTTGTCGTTGTTTTAGTATGAGACCAGTTAAAATTGGCACAGGTGGTCTCGAATCCTGACCTTGTGATCCACCTGTCTCAGCCTCCCAAAGTCCTGGGATTACAGGCATGAGGCACTGTGCCCGGCCTGACCCCTCTGCCCTTTCAAAACAATGTTCGTTCTCTCACAGTCTTCTTTTATCATATTAAGTCCACGCCGCAGGACTATTTTGTCCAGTGAACGCTATGCAAATATTTCATGCACCTGCTGGTCACAGGAATGATATGTACTTGGTACGCACTGATCGTACCTTGGTGTGGGAGAAGAGGGGGGAAGGAAGCAAAGAACAGCCCCCTCCTTTCCTGGTGCACCTTCAGATGTGCCGATGGGGCTCAGACTCGCTGCAGATGGCCCCCTTCCCAGAGACAGGGGAGGATTCTCCACCCACTCCCCAGCCTCCAGGACCATCCTGAATCGCGCCTTCAGGCACTCAAGTTATTATGCGTCTAGACACGCGGATATATTCAAGCTGGGCACAGCACAGCAGCCCCACCCCAGGTGGCTTAAGTCAGAGCTGGAGACCACATCCCAAGGGACTGTGTGGGGGTTGGGGCACAGAGGCCACTGCTTCCCCCCGTCTTAGGCACTCCTGAAGTCAGCCTCACTCTGCCTCTTGGGGATTTCTTTTTTTTTTTTTTTTGAGACGGAGTCTCGCTCTGTCGCCCAGGCTGTAGTGCAGTGGCACGGTCTCGGCTCACTGCAAGCTCCGCCTCCCGGGTTCAGCCATTCTCCTGCCTCAGCCTCCCGAGTAGCTGGGACTACAGGCGCCGCCACCTCGCCCGGCTAGTTTTTTGTATTTTTTAATAGAGACGGGGTTTCACCGTGTTAGCCAGGATGGTCTCGATCTCCTGACCTTGTGATCCGCCCGTCTCGGCCTCCCAAAGTGCTGGGATTACAGGCTTGAGCCACCATGCCTGGCCTTCTCGGGGATTTCAAATGCGCTGAGACTCCAGCACTTTTGCGGAAGCTCCTTCTGGTCCTGACTTGCACCCGGATGCTGTGGGGCTGCAGCTGCTGCTTGGGTTCAGGAGGATGCTGGGGGCCCGGTGCCCATGAGCTTTTGAAGCTCCTGGAACTCGGTTTTGAGGGTGTTCAGGTCCAGGTGGACACCTGGGCTGTCCTTGTCCATGCATTTGATGACACTGTGTGCAGAAGTGAAAAGGAGTTGTTCCCTTCCTCCCTCCTGAGCGCAGGCAACTGCTGTGGTTGCCAGTGGAGGTGATGTGTTCTTGGTCTGTGCCCAGTGGCCACCCCAGCAGAAGCTATGGTGGTTCCAGGGACCAGTTAGCGAGCCAATCAGTGGGACCCAGGGACGGCCTACCAAAGTTAACTGGATTTGATAACTGTAGCAAAGTTGTTTCCTGATTTTGATGATTGCGCTGTGGTTGTGTGAGAGAATGAAGTATTCCGGGGTAGTGTGGTAATGCCTTCAACTTACAAACGGTTCAGGTAAACCACCCATATATGTACATATATATGCATATGATATATACACATACAGGGATGTGTGTGTGTTTATATATATGGGGGGAGAGAGAGAGAGAGGGAGAGAAAGGAGGTCAGGGAGAGGGAGAGAGAAAGAGGAGACACAGAAGGAGACAGCGAGAGAGTGGGGAGTAGAGAGAGGGAAAGGATAAGAGAGAGGGAGAGGAGGAAAGAGAGGCAGGAGGAAGCAGAATGTTAAAGGAAATAGGCAAAACATAAACAGAAAATCTGGGTGAAGGGTATATGAGTATTCTTTGCACTATTCTTGCAATTATCTTTTATTTAAATTGACATCAGGCCGGGTGCAGTGGCTCACGTCTGTAATCCCAGCACTTTGGGAGGCTGAGGCAGGCAAATCACCTGAGGTCAGGAGTTTGAGACCAGCCTGGCAAACATGACGAAACCCCGTCTCTACTAAAAATACAAAAATTAGCCTGGCGTAGTGGTGCGCGCCTGTAATCCCAGCTACTTGGGAGGCTGAAGCAGGAGAATCACTTGAACCAGGGGGGCAGGAGGAGGTTGCAGGAGGAGGTTGCAGTGAACTGAGATCATGCCACTGCATTCCAGCCTGGGCCATAGAGCGAGACTCAGTTTCAAATAAATAAACATCAAAATAAAAAGTTACTGTGTTAAAGAGTAGGGGCAGGGTGGGAGGATGGGGGTGGGGAAAGGTTGCTAAAATATATCAATAAATAAATAAAGCCCAAAATGAAAAAGAGAGTGGGGGCACCAGGCCTACGTGGGACTGGAGGGCTGATGGGACCAGGCCTCTTCTCTCTGGCCAGAGAACCCAAGAAGTGAGCAGATGTGAGCGGTGCGGAGCTGGGCATTAGAGGTCCACAACACCCTGTTCCAAAGCAGAGGACACAATCATTTTTTTTTCTAATAGGCTGCAGGACTTACTGTTGGTGGGATGCCCTGCTTTGCAAAGGGAAAGGAGGAGTTTGCCCTGAGCACGGGCCCCCACCCTCCACTGGGCTTTCCCCAGCTCTCTTGTCTTCTTATCATGGTGGTGGCCGTCCCTGGCCCCTGACTCCAGAAGGTGGCCCTCCTGGAAACCCAGGTCGTGCAGTCAGCAATGTACTCACCGGGACAGCAATGTCTGCTGCACTCTGTCTCTCCCCTGTGCATTTGTCCTTCATGCCCGTCTGGAGTGGTTGGTTTTTGCAGAGGTGGTGCCCTGTAAAGCCCTCCTGTCTGACTTTTTTTTTTTAAAGACTGAGTTTCGTTCTTGTTGCCCAGGCTGGAGTGCAATGGCACAATCTCAGCTCACTGCAACCTCTGCCTCCCGGGTTCAAGCGATTCTCCTGCGTCGGCCTCCTGAGTATTTGGGATAACAGGCATGCACCACCACGCCCGGCTAATGTTTGTATTTTTAGTAGAGACAAGGTTTCACCATGATGGCCAGGCTGGTCTTGAACTCCTGGCCTCAAGTGATGCTCCCGCCTAGGCCTCCCAAAGTGTTGGGATTACAGGCGTGAGCCACTGCACCCGGCCTGCACGCGCTCTTTGAAAGCAGTCGAGGGGGCGCTAGGTATGGACAGGAACGAGCTGGCGCGGGGTTGCTGGGTGCACAGAGAGCACGGGCAGAGCCACGCGGCGGGAGGACTACAACTCCCGGCACGCCCCGCGCCGCCCCGCCTCTACTCCCAGAAGGCTGCGGGGGGTGAACCTCCTAAGAGGGCGAGCGCTCCCGACATGCCCCGCGGCGCGCCATTAACCGCCAGATTTGAATCGCGGGACCCGTTGGCAGAGGTGGCGGCGGCGGCATGGGTGCCCCGACATTGCCCCCTGCCTGGCAGCCCTTTCTCAAGGACCACCGCATCTCTACATTCAAGAACTGGCCCTTCTTGGAGGGCTGCGCCTGCACCCCGGAGCGGGTGAGACTGCCCGGCCTCCTGGGGTCCCCCAGACCCGCCTTGCCCTTTCCCTAACGAGGCCACTGTGGCTGGGACCCGGGGGTACGAGCCGCCCTCCCCTCCCTGTCCTATCCCCAGCGAGGCCACTGTGGCTGGGCACCTTGGGTCCGAGCCGCCCTCCCCTCCTTGCTTTGTCCCCATCGAGGCCTTCGTGGCTGGGCCTCGGGGTTCCGGGCTGCCGAGTCCACTCACGAGCTGTGCTGTCTCTTGCAGATGGCCGAGGCTGGCTTCATCCACTGCCCCACTGAGAACGAGCCAGACTTGGCCCAGTGTTTCTTCTGCTTCAAGGAGCTGGAAGGCTGGGAGCCGGATGACGACCCCATGTAAGTCTTCTCTGGCCAGCCACGATGGGCTTTGTTTTGAACTGAGATGTCAAAAGATTTGAATTGTGAAGAGACTTGGTATGGGAGGGTTGCTTTCCAGCCTCAATGCTTCTTAAACGGCTGTTTTGAACGGATACCTCTCTATATGCTGGTGCCTTGGTGATGCTTACAACCTGATTAAATTTCATTTGACCAAAATGCCCTTAGGGTGGATGTTAAAGTCTCATTCACATAAGATGCCTGATGCCTTTCATGTTCAATAGAATACATGAGCAGACCCTGTTGTTGTGAACTGCCAGGGATGTCCAAGTGCAAAAGTTTAATTGAAATATAACCCACACAGCACAAAAATTACCCTTTGAAAGTGTGCACTTTACACTTTGGGAGGCTGAGGTGGGCGGATCACCTGAGGTCAGGAGTTTGAGACCAGCCTGGCCAACATGGCGAAACCCCAGCTCTACTAAAAATACAGAAATTAGCCGGGCATGGTAGCACGCACCTGTAATCCCAGCTACTGGGGAGGCTGAGGCAGGAGAATCGCTTGAACCTGGGAGGCAGAGGTTGCAGTGAGCAGAGATTGTGCCATTGCACTCCAGCCTGGTCAACAGAGCGAGACTCTGTCATAAAAATTAAAAAATTGAAAAAAAAAAAAGAAAGCATGTACTTCAGTGTTGTTTTGGCTTTTTTTCTTCAAGATGCCTAGTTAATGACAATGAAGTTCTGTACTCAGATGATGTCTGTTTTTCCACACTGTAATGCCATAACCTTTTCTCACCTTTTTTTCTGTCCGAATCAGTTGCTTCCACAACTTGAATTTTTTTCCCTTGAGAATCACCCCAGTTGTTTTTCTTGTTGGCCAGAAGAGAGTAGCTGTGTTTTTCTTCGTATGTTTGCTGTGGTGGTTATACTGCATCCCAGTAATCACTGGGAAAATATCAGTGGTATTCGTCTTGAAAATGAATAAGTGTTGTCATATTTTCAGATTAGAGTTACAACTGGCTGTCCTTTTGGACTTTGGGTGGCCATGTTTTCATTGTAATACAGTTCTGGTAATGGCGATGATCAGCTATGCAGGGAGACCCCCCCTAGCAGGAAATGAGAGTATGAGCTAGAGGGGTCCCTTGGGGAACCCTGGGCAATAATGGCCTTCTCTGCCCTTAATCCTTACAGTGGATTACGTAACAATTTCAGTGAAATGAAATTGCTTCAAACAGTTCCTTGAGAATGTTAGAGGGGTTTGACATGTAATTCCTTTGAACTTACACCATGTAACACTTTTCCAACTAACTGCTAAAGAAGTCCAGATAAAATAGATACATTAGCCACATAGATATGGGGGGAGACGTCCACAGGGAGGAGAAGGTGCTAAGAGGTGCCATATGGGAATGTGGCTTGGGCACAGCACGGATGCCATCAACTTCAGACTTGACGTCTTGCTTCTGAGGCAGAGCGGGGCGTGCCTGTGGAGGGCTCGGGGAGGTGGCCCGCTGGGAGTGGACTGCCACTTTAATCCCTTCAACTGCCTTTGCGCTGTTGTTTTGGTTTTTCTAGAGAGGAACATAAAAAGCATTCATCTGGTTGCGCTTTCCTTTCTGTCAAGAAGCAGTTTGAAGAATTAACCCTCGGTGAATTTTTGAAACTGGACAGAGAAAGAACCAAGAACAAAATTGTATGTATTGGGAATAAGAACTGTTCAAACCCTATTCAATGTCTTTAGCACTAAACTACCTAGTCCCTCAAAGGGACTCTGTGTTTTCCTCAGGAAGCATTTTTTGTTTTTTTTTCTGAGACGGAGTTTCACTCTTGTTGCCCAGGCTGGAGTGCAGTGGCGCAATCTCGGCTCACTGCAAACTCCACCTCTTGGGTTCAAGTGATTCTCCTACCTCAGCCTCCCAAGTAGCTGGGATTACGGGCACGTGCCACAACACCCAGCTAATTTTTGTATTTTTAGTAGGGATGGGGTTTCACCATGCTGACCAGGCTGATCTCAAACTCCTGACCTCATGGTTTGCCCACCTCAGCCTCCCAAAGTGCTGTGATTACAGGTGTGAACCACCGCACCTGGCTTTTTTTTTTTTCTCTGAGACAGGGTTTCACTCTGTTGCCCAGGCTGGAGTGGAGCGGCATGATCTTGGCTCACTGCAACTTCTGCCTCCCGGGCTCAAGTGGTTTGCCTGCTTCAGCCTCCCAAGTAGCCGGGATTATAGGCGTGTGCCACCACACCCAGCTAATTTTTGTATTTTTGATAGAGATGAGGTTTTGCCATGTTGGCCAGACTGATCTTGAACTCCTGACCTCAGGTGATCCGCCCACCTCGGCCTCCCAGAGTGCTAAATACCATCTCTACTAAAAATATACAAATTAGCTGGGCATGGTGGCAGGCACCTGTAATCCCAGCTACTTGGGAGGCTGAGGCAGGATAATCTCTTAGAGGTTGCAGTGAGCCAAGATTGCGCCACTGCACGCCAGCCTGGGCGACAGAGCAAGAGTCTATCTCAGGAAAAAAAAAAAAGGGCGCAATGGCTCACGCCTGTAATCCCAGCACTTTGGGAGGCTAAGGCAGGCAGATCACGAGGTCAGGAGATCGAGACCATCCTCGCCAACATGGTGAAACCCTGTCTCTACTAAAACTCCAAAAATTTATCTGGGCATGGTGGTGTGCGCCTGTAGTCCCAGCTACTCGGGAGGCTGAGGCAGGGGAATCGCTCGAACCTGGGAGGCGGAGGTTGCAGTGAGCCGAGATAGCACCACTACACCCCAGCCTGGCGACAGAGCAAGACTCTGTCTCAAAAAAGAAAAAAAAAGCTCCTGGAGTATGATCTTGGGGTTGTGTGGTCAGAAAAACATGTACCCTTAGTAAAGGTGTATTGAGCTTGAGGATCCTTGGTTGGTGGGGACATTGTAACATTAGGATTGCCTTCCTGCCCTCAGTGAAAACCTACATGGGGTGTCACATGGCCGCGTGCTCCTGTGCTGGCAGTGGTGTGAACAGAGGTCTGGGGACACACAGTAGAGGGTATGTGGGGAAGGGGTAAAAAGAGGCAGCAGCCCATCAGGACCCAAAGGGTTTTCTGCAGGTGACTCCCTCCAGGCTCTTGTCCAGTTGTGCTGGGCTATTGTGACAGCCGAAGGTGAAGCCGTGAGTCCACAAAAGGGGTGGCTCCCGAGCAGCCAGGGTGTGGCGCATGAGGCTTGCCAGAGAAGACTAGAGCTCCAGTTAAAGCAGAATTTCAGATGGACAAGGAATGCTTTTTTAGTATAAGCAAATCCCACATTTTGTGTCAGTATTTACTAGAAACTTAGTCATTTATCTGAAGTTGAAATGTAACTGGGCATTGTTTTTTGTTTTTTTTTTTTGAGACGAAGTCTCACTCTGTCACCCAGGCTTGAGTGCAGTGGCACGATCTCGGCTCACTGCAACCTCTGCCTCCCGAGGTCAAGCGATTCTACCTCAGCCTCCCGAGTAGCTGGGACTACAGGCACGCACCACCATGCCTGGCTAATTTTTTTATTTTTAGTAGAGACGGGGTTTCACCAAGCTGGCCAGGCAGGTCTTGAACTCCTGACCTCGTGATCTGCCCTCTTTAGCCTCCCAGAGTGCTGGGATTACAGGCATGAGCTGCCATGCCTGGCCTTTTTTTTGAGACAGAGTCTCGCTCTGTCGCGCAGGCTGGAGTGCAGTGGCGTGATCTCGGCTCACTACAAGCTCCGCCTCCCGGGTTCACACCATTCTCTTACCTCAGCCTCCCAATTAGCTGGGACTATAGGCACTCACCACCACGTCCGGCTAATTTTTTTTGTTATTTTTAGTAGAGATGGGGTTTCGTTTCACTGCGGTAGCCAGGATGGGCTCCATCTCCTGACCTCATGATCCGCCAATCTTGGCCTCCCAAAGTGCTGGGATTACAGGCGTGAGCCACCGCGCCCGGCTTTTTCTTTTTCTTTTTTTTTTTTGACACAGAGTTTCACTATGTCACTCAGGCTGCAGTGCAGTGCACGCTGCCTCAGCCTCCCAAGTAGCTGGGATTAATGGCCCATGCCACCACGCCCAGCTAATTTTTGTATTTTTAGTAGAGACAGGGTTTCATCATGTTGGTCAGGCTGGTCTCAAACTCCTGACCTCAAGTGATCTGCCTGCCTCGGCCTCCCAAAGCTCTGGGATTACAGGTGTGAGCTACTGCGCCCAGCCTGGGCATCGAATATTCTTATTTCCTAAGTCTGGCAGCCCCACACAGAATAAGTAATGGGGGATTCCATATCCTTGTAGCAAAGCCCTGGGCGGAGTCAGGAGATGTTGTGACACCAGTCATGGTCACACTTTCCTTGCTAAATAGAGGTGAGATCCCCCCCGTCCCATGGTTTCTCAGGTTCAATTTTCAGCTTGAAAATTGTATTTCTTTTTAGAAATCAGCGTAAAATAATTATGTCCTTATATGTGGCTTTTTAAAAATTTGACACAGAGTGACACTCAGTCGCCCAGGCTGGAGGGCTGTGGTGCGATCTTGGCTCACTGCAACCTCCATCTCCCAGGTTCAAGCGAGTCTTGTGCCTCAGGCTCCCAAGTAGCTGGGATTATAGGTGTCTGCCACCAGGCCCAGCTAACTTTTGTATTTTTAGTAGAGACGGGGTTTTGCCATGTTGGCTAAGCCAGTCTCGAACTCCTGGCCTCAAGTGATCTGCCCGCCTTGGCCTCCCAAAGTGCTGGGATTACAGGCGTCAACCACCACGCCTGGCCTCAATATAGTGGCTTTTAAGTGCTAAGGACTAAGATAGCGTTTTGTCAGGAAGAGGGAAGAGGCCAGTGGTGGGTGAAGCATGCTGTGGGAGAGCTCGTCACCCGGTTGAGGTTGTGGGAGCTGCAGCGTGGAAACTGGAAAGTGGGCTGGGGATCGTCTTGTTCTGGGTCAGAGGTCAGCCAGCTTTTCTGTAGTGTGCCACAGACCATCCCTTAGCCCTCGTGGGTCACAGCCTCTGTTGCATATTGCCTTTTGTTGTAGTTTTTCACAACCTTTTAGAAACATAAAAAGCATTCTTAGCCCGTGGGCTGGACAAAAAAAGGCCATGACAAGCTGGATGGATTTGGCCAGCAGGCCCTGGCTTGCCAAGCCCTGTTTCAGACAAGGAGCAGCTTGTGTGCCTGGAACCATCATGAGCACAGGGGAGGAGCAGAGGACGTGGAGGCGTGGGCTGGAAGCCAGGACCCAGAGCGCTGAGAAAGACAGAGGGTTGTTGCCATTGCAAACAGAGCAACTGAAATCTGACACAGTCCAGTTCCAGAAAGCCCTGAAGTGCTGGTGGACGCTGCGGGGTGCTCTGCTCTAGGGTTACAGGGGTGAGAATGCAGTCTGGTGTGGGAAGTCGACTCACCTGTTTGAAGATGAGATTAAGAAAAGCAGACTTTCAGGATGTGTGAGCTGAAAGGGCAGGACGCAGAAGTAGAGGCCTCGGCCCCTGCAGGAGACCCCTCGGTCTCCGTCTCCTGATAGACCCAGCCAGATTGGAATGAGGGGAGACATTCCAGCCTTTGAGAACAGTGGGGAGATTTTAAAAGCTGCTTGGCTTTTATTTTGAACTGTTTTTTGTTTTCCCCGATTCAGAATACAGAATACTTTTATGGATTTGTTTTTATTACTTTAATTCTGAAACAATATAATTTTTTTTTTGAGACAGGGTCTTACTCTGTCACCCAGGCTGAGTGCAATGGTGAGATCTTGCTCACTGCAACCTCTGCCTCCCAGGTTCAAATGATTCTCCTGCCTCAGCCTCCTGAGTAGCTGGGATTACAGGCGCCCACCACCACACCCAGCTTAGTTTTGTATTTTTAGTAGAGACGGGGTTTCACCATGTTGGCCAGGCTGGTCTTGAACTCCTGACCTCATGATCTGCCCACCTCGGCCTCCCAAAGTGCTAGCATTACAGGTGTGAGCCACTGCGCCCGGCCTGTTTTGTTTTTCAATAGTGAGAGTTCTTGTGTTTGCTTTGCCCCTCCCTTTAGTGGAAAAATGTATAAAATGGAGATATTGACCTCCACATTGGGGTGGTTAAATTATAGTATGTATGCAAAGGAGCTTTGTTAATTTTATGCTTTTTTGAAAGTGAAGAAGAAACTGAATAATGTGTGTGTGTGTGTGTGTGTGTGTGTGTATATATATATATATATATTTTTTTTTTTTTAAGCCATGGTTATCTTTCCATATCAGTAAAGGTGAGGCTCCCTGGGACTGCAGAGTTGTCCATTACAGTCCATTACAAGGTGCATTGTTGGGCCAGGTGCAGTGGCTTGCGCCTGAATCCCAGCACTTTGGGAGGCCAAGGCAGGAGGATTGATTGAGCCCAGGAGTTTTGAGGCGAACCTGGGCAATGTGGCCAGACCTCATCTCTTCAAAAATTCACAAAAAATTAGCCAGGCATGGTGGCATGTGCCTGTAGTCTCAACTACTCAGGAGGCTGGGGTGGGAGGATCACTTTGAGCCTTGGAGGTCAAAGCTGCAGTAAGCCATAATCTTGCCAGTGCATTCCATCCTGGGGGACAGAGTGAGACCCTGTCTCTAAAAAAAAAACAAAGGTGCACTGTTTTTTTCTTATCAATTTATTATTTTTAAATTTTCTTTCAATTAATACTTTACAAATTATAAATATATGTAAAAATAAATTATAAATTATTATACATGAGGTAAAACTTAGGATATATAAAGTACATATTGAAAAGTAATTTTTTGGCTGGGCGCAGTGGCTCACGCCTGTAATCCCAGCACTTTGGGAGGCCGAGGCGGGTGGATCACCTGAAGTCGGGAGTTCAAGACCAGCCTGACCAACATGGAGAAACCTCGTGTCTATTAAAAATACAAAATTAGCCAGGCATGGTGGCGCATGCCTGTAATCCCAGCTACTCAGGAGGCTGTGGTAGGAGAATCTCTTGAACCCAGGAGGCGTTGCAGTGAGCTGAGATCACGCCTTTGCACTCCAGCCTGGGCAACAAAAGCAAAAGTCTGTCTCAAAAAAGTAAAGTAATTTTTTTAAGGTAACCTCTATCAGAAAACAAATTTAACCCAATAAAGGTTTTTGTTTTTTAATGTAGCAGAGGAGTTAGGGTGAATAAAAAATATGATAGGGAAGGGGGTCCCTGGATTTGCTAATGTGATTGTCATTTGCCCTTTAGGAGAGAGCTCTGTTAGCAGAATGAAAAAATTGGAGGCCAGATTCAGGGAGGGACTGGAAGCAAAAAGAATTTCTGTTTGAGGAAGAGCCTGATGTTTGCCAGGATCTGTTTAACTGGACATGAAGAGGAAGGCTCTGGACTTCCCTCCAGGAGTTTCAGGAGAAAGCTAGGGCGGTGGTTAAGAGCAGAGCTCTGCCTAGACTAGCTAGATACCTAGACTAGCTGGGTATTTGGAGTGGCTGCTTCAGGCTGGACTTCGGTTTCCTCATCTGTATAGTAGAGAGATGGGAGCACCCACTGCAGGGTCACTGAGCATAAATCAGTCAATGGAGTGAAGCCGGTAGAATGGTGCTGGGTGCATACCAAGCGCTCTGTCCATGTTTTCTGTTATTCGATGATTAGGAGGCAGCTTAAACTAGAGGAGTTGATCTGAATCAGGATGTTTGTCCCAGGTAGCTGGGAATCTGCCCCAGCCCAGTGCCCAGTTGATTTAGGTGCCCTATCAGTGTTCCCTGATTGTTTTTTCCTTTGTCTTCTTATCTACAGGATGTGACTGGGAAGCTCTGGTTTCAGTGTCCTGTGTCTATTCTTTATTTCCAGGCAAAGGAAACCAACAATAAGAAGAAAGAATTTGAGGAAACTGCAAAGAAAGTGCGCTGTGCCATCGAGCAGCTGGCTGCCATGGACTGAGGCCTCTGGCTGGAGCTGCCTGGTCCCAGAGTGGTTGCACCACTTCCAGGGTTTATTCCCTGGTGCCACCAGCCTTCCTGTGGGACCCTTAGCAATGCCTTGGGAAAGGAGAAGATCAATATTTCCCAATTAGATATTTCAGCTGTATCTTGTTTTGTCTTGAAAGTGGCACCAGAGGTGCTTCTACCTGTGCAGCGGGTGCTGCTGATAACAGTGACTGCCTCTCTCTCTCTCTTTTTTTTTTTTTTTTTGGCTCATTTTTGTCTTCTTGATTCCCGGACTTACCAGTTGAGAAGTGGGGGAGGAAGAAGGCGGTGTCCGTTTTGCTAGAGCTGATGGCTTTGTTCACTTGGGCAGAGCCTTCCACAGTGAATGTGTCTGGACCTCATGTTGTTGAGGCTGTCACACAGTCCTGAGTGTGGACTTGGCAGGTGCCTGTTGAATCTGAGCTGCAGGCTCCTCATCTGTCATGCCTGTGCTGCCTCAGAGGCCACTTTTTTTTTTTTTTTGGTAGATGCATGACTTGTGTGTGATGAGGAGGGGAATGCAGACAGTCTCTGGCTCCTCTACTGTTTCACAACGTGTCTTTCTTATTTTGTTTGAATTGTTAATTCACAGAATAGCACAAACTACAATTAAAACTAAGCACAAAGCCATTCTAAGTCATAGGGGAAACGGGGTGAACTTCAGGTGGACTTGGAGACAGAATAGAGCGATAGGAAGCGTCTGGCAGATACTCCTTTTGCCACTGCTGTGTGATTAGACAGGCCCAGTGAGCTGCGGGGCACATGCTGGCTGCTCCTCCCTGAGAAAAAGGCAGTGGCCTGAATCCTTTTTAAATGACTTGGCTCGATGCTGTGTGGGACTGGCTGGGCTGCTGCAGGCCGTGTGTCTGTCAGCCCGACCTTCACATCTGTCACGTTCTCCACACGGGGGAGGGATGCAGTCCGCCCAGGTCCCCGCTTTCTTTGGCAGCAGCAGCTCCCACAGGGCTGAAGTCTGGCGTAAGATGATGGATTGGATTCGCCCTCCTCCCTGTCACAGAGCTGCAGGGTGGATTGTTACAGCTTCGTTGGAAACCTCTGGAGGTCATCTCGGCTGTTCCTGAGAAATAAAAAGCCTGTCATTTCAAACACTGCTGTGGACCCTACTGGGTTTTTAAAATATTGTCAGTTTTTCATCGTCGTCCCTAGCCTGCCAACAGCCATCTGCCCAGATAGCCGCAGTGAGGACGAGCATCCTAGCAGAGACGCAGTTGTCTGGGCGCTCACCAGAGCCACGAACCCCAGACCTGTTTGTATCATCCCGGCTCCTTCCGGGTAGAAACAACTGAAAATGCACTTCAGACCCACTTACTTCTGCCACATCTGAGTCGGCCTCAGACTTTTCCCTCTAAACTTGGAGAATATCACAGTGGTTTTTGTTAGCAGAAAATGCACTCCAGCCTCTACTCATCTAAGCTGCTTATTTTTGATATTTGTACCAGTCTATAAATGGATGCTTCACTTTAATAACTTGCTTATAAATTGACTTTGTAGAGAAGCTGGAAAAAATGGTTTTGTCTTCAGCTCCTTTGCACGCCAGGCGGTGATGTGGATCTCGGCTTCTGTCAGCCTGTGCTGGGGGCGGGGCTGAGCGGGAGCCACCCCTCTCAGCCTGCCTGCTATGGCTTTTCCTTAAAGGCCATTCTTAAAACCAGACCCTCATGGCTGCCAGCACCTGAAAGCTTCCTCAACATCTGTTAATAAAGCCGTAGGCCCTTGTCTGAGGGCAACCACTCAGACTTTCTTTCAGATTCGTGTCCATGTGTCCGTTTTCCAGGTTCTCTAAGTCAGAGTGGAGTGTGGGAAGGGTTGCGAATGGAGGCTTCTGGGCTGTGGGTGAAGTTCCAATGGCAAGTTAGAGCCCTTCGGGGCAACTGCCACCCTGGAAGGTAGAGACAGCAGTGCCTGCCACCAGAAGAGACCAGCAAGCCAAACTGGAGCCCCCACTGCAGGCTGTTGCCATGTGGACAGAATAATACAATTGCCAATAAAGTCTAATGTGGTTTTATCTACTTTTTTTTTTTCCCCTGGAGACAAGGCCTTGCCCTCCCAGGCTGGAATGCAGTGGAATGAACAAAGCTCACCACAACCTCAAATTGTTGCGTTCAGGTGAACCTCCCACCTCAGCCTCCCAAATAGCTGGGACTACAGGCGCAGGCCGTCACACCCGGCTAATTGAAAAATTTTGTTTTGTTTAGATGGGATCTCACTTTGTTGCCCAGGCTGGTCTCAAACTCCTGGGCTCAAGTGATTGTCCTGCTTCAGCATTGGGATTGTTGGTATTATGGCCGGGAGCCACTGTGCCTGGCCTAGCTACCTTTTTTTTTTTTTTTTTTTTTTTTTTTAGACGGAGTCTTTCTTCGTCCGCCCAGCCTGGTGCATTGCGGATCTCACTCACTGCAAGCTCCAACTTCCGGGTTTAAGCATTCTCCTGCCTCAGCCCCTCCCAAAGTAGCGGACTACAGGGCGCCCGCCACCTCGCCTGGCTAGTTTTTTGTATTTTTTAGTAGAGACAGGGTTTCACCATGTCAGCCAGGATGGTCTTGATCTCCTGACCTCGTGATCCGCCTGTCTCGGCCTCCCAAAGTGCTAGGATTACAGGCTCGAGCCACCGCGCCCAGTCGTAGCTACCATTTTTTAATGCAGAAATGAAGACTTGTAGAAATGAAATAACTCATCCAAGACAGTAGAATAAGTAACTTTTAGGGCTGGGATTGGAACCCAGGCAGCCGGGGCCCTCACTGATGAAGGACACTGTCAGCTTGTGGGGGTGGCTGTGGTCGGCTGTCTGATTCTAGGGAGGGAAGGCTGTCTTTAAAGCACCCCTATTCCATTTTCAGACGGCTTTGTCAGAAAGGCTGTCATGGAACTGACACCTGCCTCCCCAAGGCTTCCACAGATCCTCGCTGTACATTGTAACCTTTTACGTTGAAATGTAAATTCACAGGAAGTTGTAAGGCTAGTACAGGTGGTCCCGATTCCGTTCCCCTCCTTTCTGCCGTTGTGAGGACAGTGCACTGTATTCACTTTCAACATCCAAGGTCTGTGTTGAGAGGGTGAGTTGTGTGGCCCAGCTTGCCCCGGGCCTATCTTGCCATCACGAAGGATTTCCTGACTCAGCTGAATCTAGCTCAACAAAGGACCAACTAAGCTGCAGATTTTCTCTCCACTGGGCTTAGCCTACATTATTTACACCTGTTTTCAGCTGGATGGGACCAAACTAAGACCTTCACTTCCGGGGTTTCCACGTGATCCCCAAAGGGGTGACATCCATTCGTTCACTCAGGTATTTGCTTGTGCACCTACAGTGTGCCAGGTGCCAGGTCCAGGAATTGAAGCCCACGAACAACTCTTGCAGTGAGTTCCCCGGGTTTTTGTTCTCTGAACGGTGGGAAGACAGGTCAGCAAATAGCCATGCACGTCTGCACATGTGTGGCTGGTGTCTGCAGCAGTACCGAGAAGACGGTGAGCTCTGCCCTGGATGGCAACAGGAAAGGGCATCCTTATGCAGCTGTTTGTCCTGGCATAGGTGGCAGGCTGCCAGTGGGACCAGGAAGGGAAGGGGAGGATGCACAGACCGGAAGGAATGGAACGGGCACTGCAGGTGCGCTCTGCGATGTGGGGAAGCACAGGCTGATTCCGGGATGATGCCGGAGAAGTCCTGTAGCCTAAGGCACTGCTCATTCCACGTTACCCAGTGAGTCAAAGCCTCCCAACAAGACATTTAGTCACTCAAAGCCAGTGCAGGTCTCAGCTTTGTCTGGAGAGGAACTTTCACTCTAGAAAACACAAACTCATTTCCCTTTGAGGAAGTTATTTCTCCAGGATATCATTTCCAGCCACCATCCGGGATGCTGGGCAGATGCTGCAGTGCCCAAACCACGGCTGCCCAAGAAGCTTGTCCCTTAGAAACCCCGTGTGGCCCGGGAGGCGCCTGCCTGCCCCCCTGAGAGTGGGACCCTGTTGGGCTGCCAGGATCGCCGGGCAGGTGCTGGGGAAGCCTGGGTGACCGTGCTGAGCCCCTCACAGGCCTGGGAGTTGTGCTTGGGGATGAGACCTCCTCGCTCTTCGGCTGCCTCCCAATCATGGCCACATCCCACAAACGATACCACTGTCGACGAAAAGTGAAAAGGTGCATGGTTCTAACCTATGGCCCCAACCCTGTAAGAGCCCTTAGAATGTGGTGTTTTGACTCGAACAGTGGCTTTGAGTCTACCAAGGGGGATTAGCTTCCTAATGCCCTGAGTTAATGAATTGACCGGTCGGACAGGAAAACTCAGCGAGGTTCATTTTCTGTCGGGGGATGTTTGTCAATGCAGTGAAATCAGTTGCAACAAAGGTGGCACTGAGCTGCTCCAACAGTGACTCAGCCACGGCTCCAGCTGCTTCCCCAGCCCTGTGGGGGAGGTGGCAGATGGTGTCATCAGCCTGGAGCAGAGGGCTCTGCCCGCTGGCATCACAAGGGCCAGGCCTGCTGGTCCTCCAGCTGCTGGCTCCAGGTAGTTACATATGGGTTTACAAGAAGAGAGGCAGGGCCAGGTGCAGTGGCTCATGCCTGTAATCCCAGCACTTTGGGAGGCCGAGGTGGGTGATCATCTGAGGTTAGGAGTTCGAAATCAGCCTGACCAACATGGTGAAACCCAGCCTCCACTAAATACAAAAAAATTAGCCAGGCGTGGTGTTGGGTGCCTATTGTTCCAGCTACTCAGGTGGCTGAGGCAGGAGAATTGCTTGAACCCGGGAGGCAGAGGTTGTAATGAGTCAAGATCATGCCTCTGCACTCCAGCCTGGGCAACAGAACGAGACTCTGTCTAAAACAAACAAAAAAAATCAATCAATCAATAAAATAAAAATAAGAGAGGCAGGGTGCAGTGGCTCACACCTGTAATCCCAGCACTTTGGGAAGCTGAGGTGGGAATACTGCTTGAGGCCAGGAGTTTGAGACCAGCCTGGGTAACAAAGCAAGACCCTGTCTCTACCAAAGTAATAATTTAAAAAATTACCCGGCCGGGCGCGGTGGCTCAAGCCTGTAATCCCAGCACTTTGGGAGGCCGAGACGGGCGGATCACAAGGTCAGGAGATCGAGACCATCCTGGCTAACCCGGTGAAACCCCGTCTCTACTAAAAAATACAAAAAACTAGCCGGGCGAGGTGGCGGGCGCCTGTAGTCCCAGCTACTCGGGAGGCTGAGGCAGGAGAATGGCGTGAACCCGGGCGGCGGAGCTTGCAGTGAGCTGAGATCCGGCCACTGCACTCCAGCCTGGGTGACAGAGCGAGACCCCGTCTCAAAAAAAAAAAAAAAAAAATTACCCAGGAATGCTGTGACATGCCTGTGATCCCAGCTACTCTGGAGGCTGAGGTGGGAGGAACACTCGTACTAGGAAGTTGAGGTTGTATTGAGCCGTGATCACACCACTACACCACTGCACCACTCTAACCTGGGCGACAGAGCAAGACCTCACCTCTGGGGGAAAAAAAAAAAAAAGAAGAGGCTTGGATGCCACATCGTTTTTTGTCACTTATAACTGGAGTTTCGTCCATCAAAAGCCCATTCAGCACTGATTTCAGTGATAGGGGTCTGATGCTGGCTTGGAAGAGGCCTGACAGCCTAGAGACAAGCTTGGAGCTCCAAGTTGATGAAAGAATGATGAATAATGAAAAATAATGGGTTGTTCTAAAGCAGTGCCTTTTCATACTGGGCTAGGGTATAATTTGGGTCCATTTCAAGGGACATATGCTAGCAGAATTCATCAAAGTAGCCCCTCGAAGGCTGGTGCCTGCTGCCTCAGGGACAATGTAATCAGTGGTTCCAGCTGCACATCTAGGGTTGGAAACGCTGAACCCAGGCTTTCTCATGCAGATGGGGTATGGATTGCTAACGTGGCTGTCTCCTAGCACTGCAGCATGAGTGAAACACGTGTCCATTCTGCAGAGACGCGGCTCTGTGATGCTGAAACCTCCTTCTTCTTTTTTTTTTTTTTTCTGGAATGGAGTTCTGCTCTGTTGCCCCGGCTGGAGTGCAGTGGTGCTGTCTCGGTCTCACTGCAACCTCCCTCCCGGGTTCATCAGTTCTCCTCCCTCAGCCTCCTGAGTCGGCTGGGCTACAGGCGCCCACCACCACGCCCAGCTATTTTTGTATTTTTAGTAGAGACGGGTTTCACCGTGTTAGCCAGGATGGTTTCGATCTCCTGACCTCATGAATCCGCCCTGCCTTGCCTCCAAAGTGCTGGGATTACAGGTGTTGAGCTACTGCACCCGGCCGAAACCTCCTTTCCTAGATAACATTGCGTTTAGTTTTTTTTTTTTTAGATGGTCTTGCTCTGTTGCCCAGGGCTGCGAGTGCAGTGGTAGTGATCTGGGCTCCACTGGCAAACTCCGTCTCCCCCACCGGGTTGTCAAGCGATTCTTCTGCTCTCGACGGCTCCTGAATACTGGGATTATAGGTGTGGCCACACGCTCCTGGGCTAATTTTGTGTATTTTTTAGTAAAAGAAACAGGGGTTCACCATGTGGGCCAGCTGGTATCAACTCCTGACCTCAAGTGATCCATCATTCGCTCGGGCCTCACTAAAGTGCTGGGAGATTCAGGCATGAGCCACCGCGCCTGGCCTTTTTTTTAATTTTATTTTATATATTATATTTTTGAGACAGAGTCTCGCTCATATCTCCAGTGCTGGGAGTGCAGGGGGCACCAATCCTCACAGCTCACTGCAACCTCCGCCTCCTGGGTTCAAGTGTTTTCTGCCTCAGCCTCTCAAATAGCTGGGACCACAGGCGCACACCACCAGGCCCAGCTAATTCTTGTATTTTTAGTAAAGACGGGGTTTCACCATATTGGTCAGGCTGGTCTTGAATTCCTGACCTCGTGATCAGCCCACCTCGGCCTCCCAAAGTGCTGGGATTATAGGCGTGAGCCACCGCACCCGGCCAAAATCTCCCTCTAGATAACAGCGGTGTTAAGCGTTTTTTGTTTGTTTGTTTGTTTGTTTGTTTGTTTTTGAGATGGAGTCTTGCTTTGTTGCCCAGGCTGCAGTGCAGTGGTGTGATCTCAGCTCACTGCAACCTCCGCTTCGCGGGTTCAAGCGATTCTTCTGCCTCAGGCTCCTGAGTAGCTGGGATTACAGGCGTGAGCCACCATGCCTGGCTAATTTTTGTATTTTTAGTAGAGAGAGGGTTTCACCATGTTGGCCAGGCTGGTCTCCCAAACTCCTGACTTCAAGTGATCCGCCCACCTTGGCCTCCCAAAGTGCCTGAGCCACTACACCTGGTCTTTTTTTGTTTTTTTTAAGATAGGGTCTCGCTTTATTGATCACAGCCACAGCTCACTGCAGCCTCAACCTCCTACCTGGGTTCAAGCCATCCTCCCACCTTGGCCTCCCAAGTAGCTGAGACCACAGGTGGCTCCTTCCACCACATCTGGCCCTACGTAAGCTTTATGTGGGCGCAATAACAGATCTTCTCAAACCAGCTCTCAGCTCAAGAGAAGGGGAAGCTGGGCGCAGTGGGTCACGCCTATAATCCCAGCACTTTGGGAAGCCGAGGCAGGAGGATCACTTGAACCCTGGAGTTCGAGACCAGCCTGGTCAACATAGGGAGACCCTGTCTCTAAAAAAATAAATAGAAGAGAACGGGGGGACACACGTGGAGCACGCAGCCCAAATGGGGCTCCTCTGTTCCCCCTGCACAGTCAATGTGTACCTTTCGCACGCACAAAGGCGTTGACCCAAACAAAGCAATATTGATTCTTGTTATATCGCTTTATTGTGGGGTCAGTGTCAGCACCACGAGTTTTCATTCAGCACTGTTCTTTCCCCAGCTGTAGTGAGTTTAGGGAGGGCACGAGGCCCCACCCCCTATCCCTATCACCTCTGCCTTCATAGCAGCTGCTACTCTCTGAGCACCTGTTGAGTTCATTCACCTTCCAGACCTAACAAGCTATCCCCACCCCTAGAGAACAGGGCTGCTGGATGCCACACGGCTCCCAGAGAGGGGCTGTGGTCAGGGAAGCCCCAGCTTCAAAGGGGCTGGAAAACCCCAGAGCCGCCCACGTGCAGTAGCTTCGCAGTCTTTGGCGCTCAGGTGTGAGGACAGCTACAAAATACCTGAGCCATTCTGTCACTCTGTCTGAACTCCCTTTGAAATATTGTTTCCATAACTGCTAGGCTGGTTTTCCCTTCCTGACTATATTCCTCAAACCAACAAGAGCCTAGAGGAGGAAAGCGTGGCCAAAACACCCCAAGAGGAGAGCCTTGGCTTCACCTCCAAGGGCCACCATCCCGGAGGATGTCCTCAGACCTCTGACCCCCTCTGTTCAGGCCCTGCCCTACTCTGTGTGGCGACCCAGAGGAAGCCTCCCCTTCGTTTAAAATTTAACCCCATACCTTACTGATGGCTGTCCAGCCTGTCCCTTCCACCTGCGTGGCTGCCCACACGGGGTTGCTCATGGGGCTACTCCTGGGTGGGGGGAGGGGGTGCCTCTCTGCGGCTCCTCTGCCTCCCACCCCCACTGGCACCCGACGCCTGTCCTAGAAGATTCTTTCTGCCTGTTTGCTCCGTGAGTGGCTGGCCAGGTAGAGGCCGGCCTTGCTGGAGGGGGCATTTGTAATTATGAGCGAATCCAAAGCAAGGTTTTTTCCTTCCTCAGCCCCCGGCCCAGCTGCGGGGCCCACGCACTACACTTGCCGTCTGGTTGGTCCTCAGGACTGATACAGGACCCCAGGGCCAGCCCGTGCCAGGCTCCTATGCTTCCAGGAGCCCAGGAGCGCGGGTGGGTGGTCCTGCTTCCCGGCCGGCCGTCCTCCTGGGGTCTGTCTCTGGCGGACCCTCCCTCCTCCTCCCAAGCCCTGCACAGCCCGGCCAGACAGGCGCATCCCATTTGGTTGCTGAAGAGCCGGGGTTCAGGGAGATGAAGCAACGTGCCCAGGGCACGTGGGGACGCTGAGATTGGAGCCCAGGTTCCAGGTTCGCCGCGCGGCTCCCGACTTCCTCTCGTTTCTCCCAGGGGCGAGCTCCCTGCGACCCCAGGGGGCCCGCGAGGCCAGTGCGCGGGCAGGAGCGGGGACGTGCCCAGAAGAGCCTCGAGCGCCGCCGCGCCCGCCCCCGGCTCCAGCGCCCCCCGGCTCCGCGCGTCCCCCGCCACCCCCCGGGCCCCGCTACCCCCGACCCGTCCCCACCCGCCGGCCGCCCCCATGGCCCGGCTGCGTGTGCTGCTCAGCTTCGCGCTCCTGGCCGCCGCGGTCGCCAGCGACTACTGGTACATCCTGGAGGTGGCGGACGCCGGCAATGGCAGCGCCGGGCCCGGGCGCGCAGAGCTGCTCTCCTCGCACTCGGGGCTCTGGCGCGTCTGCGAAGGTAACCGGCCACCCCGCCGGCCCTCCTCCCTCCGCGACCTCTTCCCTCCGACACCCCCCTAACCCCGCCCCCGTGTCGCCCCGCCAGACCCCCTCCCAGGACCCCTCCCTTGCATCCAGCTCTGCCCCAGGGTGTCTCTCAGCTCCCTCCCCATCACCCTCCGTCTCCCCGCAAAACTGACAGTCCAGGGGCTACAGGAGGGAGGGAGCCCTGTTCAGGGCCCCTCACAGCCGGGGGAGGGGGCTGTGGGGCGAGGGTCCGGGAGGGAAGCCTCCAGGTATGTAGCTGGGGGGCCTCATCCAAGTCACCAGGGGTTGTTTCTTGATCGCCCTCCCCAGGGTTTGGGCCTTGCAGCCCCTTGTCCCCCTCCCTGTCAGGCACCCTCAGAGCTGCTCACCCCACACCTCCTGATGCCGTGGGGACAGGGGTTCCAAATGTGTGCAGAAGCTTCAGAGCACAGGGAGAGAGGAGGCTGCAGGGTCCACAGGGCACCCTCCATTCCCCCCAGCTCCCTCCTCAGGAGCTGCGGCGCCTGGGGAGCTTCCCCTGCACAGGGGGCTGGCATGGCAAAGAGGTCTGAGTGTGAGTGAGTGTGTGTGCGCATCTGAATATGTGTGCATGTGCTGAATATAAACATGTGTGAGCACCTGGCTGTGTATGTAAATATGAATGTGAGTGTGTGTAGTTGTGTGTGCATGTTAGTGTGCATGTATGTGCATGTGAGAGTGTGTGGGCATGTATGAGTGAGTGCGAGTGTGGGTGGTGCGCGTGTGCTGGTGGCTTCCTCAGTGCAACTGGGGAGGAGTTAGGAGCCGTGTGCTCATCCATCCGATAGACTGTGCCTAACTGTGCTACAAAGACCTCCTGACATGCACCTGTGTGCAGGTGTGCACACGCATGTGCCTATGCAGGTGGCTCTGCACGTGTGTGAGAACCAGAGTATGTATGCCCACATGACACGAGTCAGGAAGATTCTGGAGCAAGGCTTCCCAGGAACCCGTTTTGCACACACCTTTTTCCTGACCCAAAGGAAAGCCTGAGTTCCACACACAAACGCATTACAAGGACCCCTGCCTGAGGGACTCTGAGGGACTCTGAGGGAGCCTCTATGGAGCATTTGAAATTTTAAAAATGCATCTGTGCAGGCATAACTTGCATGTGAAAATAAGGCGAAAGGTCTTGGGCCTTTCATCCCACTTGGAGTCCCAGCCCCGAGTTTCAGCATGAGAGAGAAGGTGGCAGGGCCCTGTGGTGCCGGGGAGGTCCCCTGGGCTCGGGTAGGCTGCTGGGTGCCTCACGGCATCCAGGCCCCAGGCTTCGAGGCCTCTGTTTCCCAGGGCAGAACAGCTGCATCCCGCTGGTCGACCCTTTCACCAGTGAGAGCCTGGACGTCTCCACCTCGCGGTGCAGCACCTCGTCTGTGAGTTGTGGGTGGGGCTGCCTCGTCCTTTCCAAATATTCAGGCAAGGCTGGATCCCAGCCATCCCCATCCCCATCCCGCAGCACTGCTTCCACTGCCCCTGCATCTCCAAGAGGACGTTTCCACGCAGACCTGTCCCAGTGCTGTGCTACTGTGCCTAACCACAGGTGCCCGGCTCCCAGCCTGTCCTGTTTTCCCCTGTCTCAGTTTCCCTCTCAGTGGCGAAGGCTCATTTGTTGTTGGGGAAGTCAGGCAGCTCCGAGCGTGGCTGGATCCTGTGGGCACTGCAGATTCCTGGCTCCCCATTTAGGACTCGGTTCTTCCAGATGGCCTGCTGTCTACCTGACTGGCACCTTCCCCCTGGTGGGTCGGGGGACATTCGAGGCCTGGGATGGGGGTTGGGAGGGTTCTGGGGAAGCCTCCCTCTCCCGGCCTTAGGAAGCCCCTGCCAGGGCGAGAGGGGGCCACTGGGAAGGTCCAGTGGTTTTCACGGAGATGGGCGTCAGCCGCTTTTCCTGAGAAGATGAAGCACCATGTCACTGTCCTCTGGCAGACAAGCGCTGAAGGGCCTACCTGGACCAGAATTCTCACCTGAGCCCCCTCTCCTGCAGTGCTGCACCGCGCAGTCATGGTGGTCCTGCCCCTGAGCCTGGTCCTTCTCGTATGCGGCTGGATCTGCGGCCTGCTCAGCTCCCTGGCCCAGAGCGCGCCTCTCCTGCTCTTCACCGGCTGCTACTTCCTGCTGGGGGGTGAGTCTGGGGCCCTGGGAGAGTGGCTCCAAAGCCGGGAGCTGGGCCACAGGTTCCGGGAGTGGCATGCTGCCTCTACTGTTGCCCTCGTCCCCTGCTTCCCTCTGGGCAGGTGCTGAGCCTGGTGATGGAGCCGTGGCAGGCAGCTCCCTGTGGTTCCAGAAGGTACCCATGTGTATTTGTTCTCACATTGCTATAAAGAAATGCCTGAGACTGAGTAATTTATAAAGAAAAGAGGTTTAGGCTGGCGCGGTGGCTCATGCCTGTAATCCCAGAACTTTGGGAGGCTGAGGTGGGTAGATCATCTGACGTCAGGAGTTCAAGACCAGCCTGACCAACATGGTGAAACCCCATCTTTACTAAAAATACAAAAATTAGCTAGGCTTATAAAGAAAAGAGGTTTAATCGGCTCATGGTTCTGCACACTGTAGAGGAAGCATGATGCTGGCATCTGCTTTGCTTCTGGGGAGGCTTCAGGAAAATGACAATCACGGGCGGAAGGCCAAGTCAGGGAGCCAGCATTTCACATGACTGGGACAGGAGGAAGAGAGTAGGGAGGTGCTACACACTTTTTTTTTCTTTTTTTTTGAGATAGAGTTTTGCTCTTGTTGCCCAGGCTGGAGTGCAATCGCATGATCTCAGCTCACTGCAACCTCCGCATCCCGGATTCAAGCAATTCTCCTGCCTCAGCCTCCTGAGTAGCTGGGATTACAGGCATGTGCCACCACACCCAGCTAATTTTGTATTTTGGGTAGAGGCAGGGTCTCTCCATGTTGGTCAGGCTGATCTCAAACTCCTGACCTCAGATAATCCACCTGCCTCAGCCTCCCTAAGTGCCGGGATTACAGGCGTGAGCCACTGTGCCCAGCTGGGTGCTACATACTTTTAAACAACCAGATCTCAGCACTCACTCACTATCCAGAGAACAGCACCAAGGGAAATGGTGCTAACCCATTCATGAGAAGCCACCGCCATGATCCAGTCACCTCCCACCAGGCCCCACCTCCAATACTGGGGATTACCATTTCACATGAGATTCGGGCTGGGACACCAAACCATAGCACCGTGATAGGAGCAGGGCTTCTGGCTGTGGGTCAGAGCCTCGGACAGGGAGGAGCACCAGGGTCCAAGCTTCTTGGCGGGGGTGGGGGGATGAGGGCCTCCAGGGCAACCCCAGGACCTGCTTTGCTGGGTCAGATCATGCTGGGGGGCCTGGGGCCAGCCCCTTACCACACCCTTCTTCCCACACTGTCCTGGTGGGAGAAGCAAGGGCTCAGGAGTTTGGCACAGACGAGGCAGGTCCAGGCATGAAGGCAGGTGCAACAGGGCACCAGAGGCCTCAGCTCTGACCCCAGCACAGGCTGAGACTGTAACCAGTAACTACCCATCCACTGACACGGCTCCAGCTCTGACTACATGCCGAGTGCTGACTGAGTGCTGGCCAAGTGCTCCTCCGAAGGCTCCTCCGAAGGCTCCCCAGTCCCAGCTGCAGGTGAGAAATCTGAGGCCTGGAGAGGGACGAGGGCCTGGGCTCCAATCCCGCTGTGCTGTCTCCTCAGTTTCCACCGACTGGCCAGGGCTAGCTGTTGTGGAAGGTAGACTGGGGGCTCCAGACGGTCTGTCCTTAGCCGCCCCTGTCAACCAAGGCCAGGCCTGAGCCAGGCCTGGTGTCTCAGGCCAGCTCCACTGTCAAGGCCGTGGCCACGAGGAGCGGACCGTCCAGGGCTGGGGGCACCCTCCCTGCTTCTCTGGGAGGCCTCTGCCACTGAGGAGGCCCGGCTGGGTGCAGAGATTGGGGAAGCGAGCAGCCCTGGCATTGATCACAGGCCACATGAGAGCAACATTGAAGTCAAAGTCTCTAGACGATGAAATCAGGAAGAATTCAAATGACCGGACCCTGGAGCCCATCTGTGAGTGTTCAAAATCCAATCACGAGGACCTTCGGGGCCAGCGACGGGAGTAATCGGATTGGGATTGTAACCGGGAGACAGTGACAGGAATGATTGGGTTGGGATTGTAACCAGGAGACAGTGACAGGAATGATTGGGTCGGGATTGTAACCGGAAGAACTTACAGGGACACGGACCCTCTGCATTGTGCCTGGGAGCGAAGGCACCGGCTAGGAGGCGGAGGGGCTGGAGGTAGCTGGTGGATGGGTGGGGGTTCCACTGCGACTCCAGCCTCCCCAGGCAGAGAGGGTCTCCACTCCTAGAATGAGGGTCAGCTGTGGGCCGAAGCACAGAAGGCTCTCAGGATGTCACACCAAGGGCACCTGCCTAGGGTCAGCTTAGCCCTCACCCCTCACTAGCACTGCAAGGAGCGGGAAGGAGATGGAGCACCCCAGACGGATTGGGTGCCCGTCCCTGAGACAGGATCATGGCGGGCCTGGAGGACCGACAGGGCCTGTGGTGACACAGTCCTCTAGAGTTTCCCAGCTTGAGGCTGCAGGTGCCAGCCGCGGGAGCCTCCTTTAGGAGGCGGGAGGCTGACAGAGAGGTCTGCCAGGAGCTGAGCCCAGGCCCCCTCACCAGGGAGTCGGAGGCACTTCAGGTCCCAGCGTGGGAACTTACTCTTCCCCTTCATTTTGGGAGAAAGGCCGTGTCCTCGGCCAGTCTACAGGAGGCAGCTGGTGTTTGGAGAGGGCTCAGCTGGTGGGGCGGCCTGCCAGGAAGTGGGGCCTTGGGCTGCAGGCAGAGACAGGCACCTCCTACCGCGCAGTCAACCCCCGCTGCTGGGGGCTGGCCCCCGCCCCTGCTTCTCCCAGGGCCTGCTTCATTCAATTTGGCTTCACATTCCTCCCCAAAGTAAATCCATAATTTCTGTTGCTACACTGCCCAGCCGGGCAGGCACCTATATGTCCTCCCTCCCCCGGCCTCCCCATGCCGTCTTCTTCCCACTCTTCCCGGGGTGAATCACAGAAGACCAGGCTGGGCTGTGCCCCTTCACTGGGCACCAGTGAGATCCAGACCTGGCCCTGAACGTCAGCTTGGGTCAGTGGCCTTCTTTTGGCTGGGCAGTGCCCAGAGGGGACCCTGCGCACCCAGGAAGTGCCTGTGGGGAAATCAGGGCCACCTGCTCCCCTGGCTAACATTCCCTACAGTCGGCACCCAGGACAGGCTTTCTCATCAGCCTGAAGCTGTGGGAAGGGGGTGGCACTCCGGGCTGGCTCCTCCAAGCCCAGCGGACAGGAAAATACCCTGGGGGCATGGGCTGAGTCCCCTGCCCAGCTCTTCGCTGGACCCTGAACTGCTGGATGAAACCTGGTGCCTGCCACCCTGCGCAAAGCTCGGCTTCATTCCTTTGACAACAGCTTCGACCACGTGGAGAGTGGGAGGGAGGAGCGAGGAGGGCCCAGGGCAGGCCTCCTCCCCTGAGGAAGGGCCCGAAACTCAGAGCTGGGAGGACAGGGGGGCTCTGGAAGGAGAGTCGGAGGGGGATGTTAGCCCCAGAGGTAGGGAGGGCGAAGGTGTGAGGAAGAGGAGGAGGGGGTGCAGGGCAGAGACTCACTCTGCTCAGAGCACTGGGCAACCCTGCTGCCAGCAGAGGCCATGGCTGTGTGTGTGTGAATGTGTGCGAATGTGTACGTGTACGTGTGTGTGCTGGGGGCCATGGAGGGTACAGGGTGTGTGGGGGCAGTTATGTGAGTGGGAACCATATTGAGGGGCAGGTGGCACTGTTTGCGGAGGCTTTGTGGGATGAGGTCTCTGGGGTTTGAGGACTGAATTGCAGCCTCTTAAAGCTCCACTCCCCCAAATGCAGTTGACTACCTTGGGGTCCTGTCTGACCCCAAGCAGGAGTTGGTGTCTGGGGGCCAGATTGATCGCCAGGCAAGGCTAACCAGGACAGGAAGGGTGGTGTGCTGCCTGCAGCTCTGCCTGAATGCCAGCGGGGCGGGGATGCTGAGGCGGTATCTGCAGGACCACCTGGGCCTGGGCCCGCTGGAGCAGATACAGAGCAGCTGCCCGCCCCATCTCTCCCCCAGGTGTCCTAACCCTGACGGGGGTCAGCATCTACATCAGCTACTCGCACCTGGCCTTCGAGGAGACAGCGCGGCAGTACGGCCCACAGCACGTGCAGGGCGTCCGCGTCAGCTTCAGCTGGTCCATGGCCCTGGCCTGGGGCTCCTGTGCCTCAGAGGCATTCAGCGGAGCCCTCCTGCTCTCGGCAGCCCAGACCCTCAGCCTGAGCCCCCCACTCTGTGGTCATCTGAGCCCCCAGCAGGTGGGAGGGAGGTGAGAGGGGGCTGGGTTTCCCTTTGCACCTCCTGGGATTGGGCTGTCAGGGCCAGGGCCCCTTGAGAGTCTGGGAATCCCTTCCCTGGGTCTGGCTGGGGTCCTGGCCAGAAAGCAGCCCTGGGGGTGACAAGGGGTGGGGGACAGAGCCAAGAATCCAGCTCAGGTTTCTCCGTAGATATTTGGGGAGGCTCCCCTGCCCCGGCAGGCTCGTTAGGGACTAACTGGTTCAACTGCCTCTTAGAGATGAGAAGAGCCAGTCCAGAAAGAGGAAGTGGCCCAGGTGACACAGGCTGAGTAGCAGAGTTGGGTGGGGGCCTCTCAAGGGTGTGGCCTGAACTCGCCCCTCCCCCAGCAGGCTCATGAGCCACTGCTGTCCCCCCGTTCCTAAGGACCTGGGAGAAAAGTAGGAGTCTGTTAAATGCGATGGGGCTGGGCTCCATGCTGCTCTCCAGTCCCACAGTGGCCCTACTCAATGGCTACCCTTGATCCATTTTACAGAGGGGGAGACTGAGGCCCAGAGCGGCAGAGGGACTCACCCAGATCACCCGGTACCAGAGAGATGCCATTTCAGGCCAAGGTTTCCCTGGCCTCGTTCTGTCCACTCTCCCTGGAGGGCCGGCTTGGTGGAGAAGAGGCTGAGGAGAGGGCCCGAGAGCCCCCTCCGACTTGCAGGTGTTGGGGGGCGAGGAGCTGAGCCAGCCAGATGTGCCTCTCTGTCCGCTCCCTTGTTTTCAAGCCTGCTAGGTACTTTTCACTGAACGCTTCTGGGGAGAGCAGGCGCCCAGGTCTCTGTCCTTGTCCTGGCACACGCTCTGCTGCTTCTGGCCCCTGACCCACCCTCTCTGCAGCAACCCGGGGGGAGGTATGCCATTGTGAGTGCCCTGGTGGGCACACTGAGCTGGCAGAGATGGAAGTCCCAGAAGGGTGGCATGGGGGTGTCATGCCATGGTGGAGGAGTTTGGGGCCACTCCTTGCTTGCCTCAAAGGGGGCCTGGCTGAGGGGGCTTCTTGACCACAGGGACCCGGGCTGCCTGGGGTGGCGCAGGGCTAGGCCTGGAGTTTGGGATGCAGACTTGTTAAACAGAGGGCAGAACCCCAGGTTGGGAGGGGCTCAGCTTGCAGGCCCAGGCCCACTGCAGGTCCCAGAGAGAGATAGGTGAGAAGAGGGATGGCCAGCACACACCTGGGTCCCCTCGGACCACAAAAGCTGGGGCACGCCCACCGTTATGCAGATGGACAGTTGAGGCGGCCGCAGGAGAAGGGTTCCCAGGGCCTGTGCAACATGTGGAAGCAGTAAACAGCCCCGTTTGGGATTTGGGGGCCCTTCCCGAGTCTTGAGAGGTGTGCTGAGGAAGCTGGCGGCCCCTTGTAGCTTGATCTTCCTCCTCCCTGCCCCACCCCGAGGTCTCCTTATTGATTCAAAGGTTAAGGAAGCTCCTGGGAGCTCGAGGCGGTGGCACAGTTTTGGTGAGGCCCAGTGAGGACCAATCTGGGCGGGGTGAGCCCGGCCTCCTCTTCCTCCCGGCGTTTGAACGTTTACCATTCCATGTGGGAACATCGTGCCTATTTGTTCTTACGTAAATCACTTGTGCTGTGTGCAATATAGGCCTTTTATTTTGCTAGAATTTTTCAAAATGGGTAACACATTCCCGTCTGTCATAAACAGTACAAAGGTGAGCAAACACTGTCACCAGCTGTGCACGTGTCTGTCCATCCAGAGGTGTTCTGAGAGCGTGTGTGCCCATGTGTGTCCACTGTGAAGTCATCTGCAGACACACAAGCCTACTTATTCCAAGGTCAGCACAGGGAGGCCGGGGCCTGGGGCTCCGTGTTGGAAACGGGGGCTGGCTTCGTGGGCATGTCCTCTCAGCTTGCGGGGAAAGGTGTGGGGGACTCCTTCCCTCCTCCTGGCCCCCCGCCTCTGCTGAGGAGGCTTCTCCCGGGGGTTTGCTGGGAAGCCAGGGGTGTGAGCCTAACTTCAGGCTTCTCACGGCAGGTGGGCTTGGGCTCTGGGGATAGGACACTGGGGAAGACACACCGGGGAGGGGCTGCTGGGACCAGCAGAGTTCCCGGAGAGTGTGTGTGTCGGGGGGGATGTGCTGCTTGCACCTTCCCTTCCAGAACAGACCTGCCCACCTTGCCTCCACCTGTTCTAGGGGGTGTGGAATTCAGCCAGGCCAGGTAACTTCTTCACTCTCTCATTGGCCAGCCACAGCCCTCACCCTCTGATTGGCCGACCCTCACCCTGTAGTTGGCTAGTGGACTCCCTCATGCTCTGATTGGCTAGTCAACTCCTTCACTCTGATTGGCCAACCACATCCCTCACCCTCTGATTAGCTAGTTGACGCCACTCTGGCCAGTTAATGCGCCACACTCTCTGATTGGCCAGTGTTCCTCCCCCTCTGATTGGCCAGTTAACTCCACTCTCTGGCTAGTCTCCACAGTGATTGGCCCAAGGGTTCTGTCTGTGTTCATGGTTCTCTGAGTGTCAGGCTTTGCAGGTGTGATTAAGAGGCGGATGAGTGCCTCCCAGGGAAGAGACAGTGCATGGTTCAAGGTCACCCAGAATAGACAATATGACATCAGGCTCAAATGGTGCTGCATTGTTTACAGCAAGAGGAGAGCGCCGGTGCATCCAATCCCCTTGTAGTGGTGGTTCCCACGGTTGGATCCACTGGCCCAAGTGGGCCTCTTTCTTCGATTTTTCTTAGAACTTTTCAAAATAGGTAACACATGCCTGTGTGTCACAAATAGCACAAAGGCGAGTAAACACTGTCACCAGCTGTGCACCCGTCTGTCCATCCAGAGGCGTCCTGTGCGTGTGTGTGAGCAAGCGCCCGTCTGTCCATCCAGAGGTGTCCTGTGCGTGTGTGTGAGCAAGCGTGTGCGCGTGTAGGAAAGCAGCCCTGACTCAGAGGCCCTTCCCCCAGCATCGAAGGTTCTTGCTCCTCTCACCACAGCAAAGCCCTTTCTCCAGGGATGGCCCAGCTCCGCCAGGTCCTGGGCGTACTTGCATCCCACTCTGGCACGTTTATCTGCACCACCTGGTGGGTGCCCCTGCCAGGGGCCTGACCTCTGTGAGGACAGGGGCCTCTCATGAGCTCAGGCCCTAAGCCCAGCTGGCATTTATAAATGCAGTAGGCAGCCCCCAAGTGAGCCCTCATCTGTCCTCATCTGCTGGTGCTCACCCCTCTGTCGGCCTTACCACACTGAGTCAGAGCTGACTTCGGTGTCAAGTAAGAAGTACCAGCGTGGGAAGAGGTCATAAAAACGCAGCTTCTGCCTCGGTCTCAGACTGCTCACCCTAGGGGAAGCAAGTCATCAGACAGCGAAGACACCCAGGAAGCCCTGAGGAGATGTTCACGTGGGCAGGACTGAGGCCTCCGCCACCAACAGCAGCAGCGCGTCAGCTGTGTGAGCACACCACCTGCAAGAGGATTATTCAGCTAATGCAGTTCTCACTGATGTCTTGACTGCAGCCTCGTGAGAAACTGTAAGCCACTCCCCAATTCCGCCTCTCCCCGCTTTTTTTTGAGATAGGGTCTCACTCTGTCACCTAGGCTGGATAGCAATGGCTCCGTCTCTGCTCACTGAGGCATGGCCCTCCTGGGCTCAAGCGATCCTCCCACCTCAGCCTCTCAAGTAGCTGGGGCCACAGGTGTGAGCCACCAGGCTTGGTTACTTTCTTTTTTGAGACGGAGTTTTTGCTCTGTTGCCCAGGCTGGAGTGCGGTGGTGCGATCTTGGCTCACTGCAACCTCTGCCTCCCAAGTTCAAGTGATTCTCCTGCCTCAGCCTCCCGGTAGCTGGGATTACAGGCGCACGCCACTGTGCCTGGCTGATTTTTGTATTTTTAGTAGAGATGGGGTTTAACCATGTTGGCCAGGCTGATCTCCAACTTCTGACCTCAGGCGATACCCGCCCCCCGCCGCTTCGGCCTCCCAAAGTGCTGGGATTACAAACGTGAGTCACCACACCCGGCCACTTGGCTACTTTTTGTTTTTGTTTATACAGAGATGGAGTTTCACCATGTTGGCCAGGCTGGTCTCAAAGTTCTGGGCTCAAGCAGTCCACCTGCCTTGGCCTTCCGAAGTGCTGGGATCGACTACAGGTGTGTGTGAGCCGCCACACCTGGCTCACTCACCAATTCCTACCCCGCAGTGCGATGGGAAATGATTGTTGCTTTAAGGCACTATGTTTTGGGGTCACTTATTATGCAGCAATGGATATATAATGCACTTTTGCTGGTGCTTGCCCCAGACAGGTCAGTAAGGGAGACGTGGAATTACAGGGGCTTAGAGCTACTGGCTTGCTTCTTCTTCTTTTTTTTTTTTTTTTTTCTTTGAGACAGAGTCTCCCTCTTGTCGCCCAGGCTGGAGTGCAGTGGTGCGATCTCGGCTCACCGCAACCTCCGCCTCCCAGATTTTAGTGATTCTCCTGCCTCAGCCTCCTGAGTAGCTGGGATTACAGGCACCTGCTACCACGCCCTGCTAATTTTTGTGCTCTTAGTGCAGGTGGGATTTCTCCATGTTGGCCAGGCTGGTCTTGAACTCCTGACCTCAGGTGATCCACCTGCCTCCCAAAGTGTTGGGTTACAGGTGTGAGACTTGCTGACTTTCTTTTGATTTTGTGAGTTACCACCTTCTCAAGCACAGGAGAGCAGTTCTGGGGCCCTGGGAACTCCTGTATACTGGATCTTCCACAGTATGGATCTGGATTCTTCTAAGAGATGGAGGGACAGAGGGAGACTGCCCTTTGCTTGCCACGTGGACTCTTCTCCCCTTACACTCACTGAAGTCCAAGATTTCCACCATCCTGTGGTTTCTTTCTTTTTTTTTTTGAGACAGAGTTTCAGTCTGTTCTCTGGTGCCCAGGCTGGAGTGCAATGGCGTGATCTCGGCTCACTGCAACCTCTGCCTCCCAGGTTCAAGTGATTCTCCTGCCTCAGCCTCTCAAGTAGCTGGGATTACAGGCATGCACCACCACGCACAGCTAATTTTGTATTTTTAGTAGAGATGGGGTTTCTCCATGTTGGTCAGGCTGGTCTCACACTCCCGATCTCAGGTGATCCGCCCACCTCAGCCTCCCTAAGTGCTGGGATTACAGGCGTGAGCCACCATGCCCGGCCCATGCTGTGGTTTCTCATAGCTCTTCCTCTAGTCCAGGCCCTCTCCTGAACTCTATGCTTATATTCCTGGCAGCTTCTTAATCACCTCTTCTTGGGGTCTCAAAGTTAACACTCTTAAGCTGAAGTCTCTACTTTACCATTCTAAAACTAATCCTCCTTCTGCGATTCCTATTAAGGACTTTCTAAAGCACTGATGTGACTGTGTATCTCCCCTCTTTAATACACATACACACACACACAGATTTATATACATATATACATATCCAGAATGAAATAGACAAAAAATATTAATGGTTATTCTTGGATGATAAAAATATAGGTAATTTTTCGGCCGGGCACGGTGGCTCATGCCTGTAATCCCAGCACTTTGGGAGGCTGAGGTGGGCGGATCACATGGTCAGGAGATCAGGACCATCCTGGCTAACACGGTGAAACCTCATCTCTACTAAAAATACAAAAACTTAGCCGGGCGTGGTTGCGGGCGCCTGTAGTCCCAGCTACTTGGGAGATTGAGGCAGGAGAATGGTGTGAACCTGGGAGGTGGAGCTTGCAGTGAGCCGAGATAGCGCCAGCCTGGGTGACAGAGCAAGACTCCGTCTCAGATTTTTATATATATATATACACACACACACACACACACACACACACATATGTAATTTTTATTTTATTTTTTTTTTTTTTTTTTTTTGAGACGGAATCTCACTCTCTTGCCCAGGCTGAAGTGCAGTGGTGGGATCTCGGCTCACTGCAACCTCTGACTCCTGGGTTCAAGCACTTCTTCTGCTTCAGCTCCCCTGAGTAGCTGGAATTATAGGCACCCACTACCAGGCCTGGATAATTTTTTTTATTTTTTTTTGAGACGGAATCTCACTCTCTTGCCCAGGCTGAAGTGCAGTGGTGGGATCTCAGCTCACTGCAACCTCTGACTCCTGGGTTCAAGCACTTCTTCTGCTTCAGCTCCCCTGAGTAGCTGGGATTATAGGCGCCCACTACCAGGCCTGGATAATTTTTTTTATTTTTAGTAGAGACAGGGTTTCACTATATCGGCCAGGCTGGTCTCAAACTCCTGACCTCAGGTGATCCACCTGCCTCAGCCTGCCAAAGTGCTGGGATTACAGGCATGAGCCACCAGCCTGGCCTCTTTATTCTTTTTAATGTTATCACAAGTTATTTATACTTCCTTTCTCTTGTTCTTGATCAGTCTCATTAGAGGTTTATCAATTTTATTACTCTTTTCAAAGAACCATCTTTTGTTTATCTGCAAGATAAAAAATTTGGCAGGAATCTTGAAACTTTAAGAAGGCCACATGGAAATTCTAAAATTGAAAAATATGATAACTTAAGAACTCAGTAGATAGGTTTGACAGTAGATGAGACACGCTGGAGACAGAATTAGTGAAGAGGGGAGTAAAATCATCAAAGAGAATAGT